CCGACTAATCACGAATGTTGCGCTCAAAGTTCCCTAGCCCTACTCGATTGCAAAGAGGTGGGGTGGCCAGGGTTGAGTCGGACGACTGCACATCTTTCCATCATCAGTCGCCGTGCACAGCAGAATCGTAAACGGATGAGTGGGTGCGGTGCGTGCGCGCGCGCGCGTGCCCGCACAACCATCCGCTTGATCGCCGCCGTCAGATTCGTGATTCAAGATGGTCATCAAATCCAAACGCCTTCTACCTCGAAGGACTGCCCTGGCGCCTGATCGAGGCGTTGCTTGAATGAGCGGCACGATTCTTGATTGTGTGGCGGCGGTGCGGAGATGTTTTAGCGCCGCTTTGGGCGCGCGCGACCCTTATTTCTTCGTGAATCATGAATGTATACGGTACCTACACGAATGAGTGAATGCAGCAATTATAATCTCAGGTCATGTCTGGTCTGCGCATTTTGGTTCGCAGCAGCACGCGGCGTATACCGTGCTCTCTATATACGCGCATTTCGCGATGGGTACAGTATATAGTCGTGAGTCCTACTGCTTGCGTGTGTGTGTCGCGCGCCATGTAGCAAAGACGCGCGTGGCTGATCAGCGCTACGCACATGTACCGTACTTGTGAAACAGATGTACGCACGGCGCCGATGCTGACGTTGCGCCCGTGGAGACAGCATATATAGCCGCAATGTGAGTCTTGACCTTGCATACGGTGCAGCATGCATGCAGACAAGCCTGCGTCGGTGCGATGTGTACAGTATAGGCACTCACCACGCGGTATGCTGCTTTCTTCGACGTTTTGCTGTACGCGCTCGCCGAGCTAGCATGTGCTATGCCACGGCTGTGATCTCCGACCCTTCCTTCCTGCCTCACTGCTGCGCAGCTGCGTGAAGACGGCTCAGAAGGCTAGCGCGGGATTTGCAGCTCGCATTTGCTGCAGATTGGGCCGCTCGTACGTCAGATTCAACCCGCGTCCTGCTTTACCGTAACTGGCACCAATCTACTCCGCGTCGCTTCGCGCATTGCTACCACGATCTCGGCGACCCTTCCACCCTCACAGTAGCGGCGGCGTGAAGACCATTCACATCGCAAGCCCGAGTCGCTCTCCCGCTCTCCCGAGCTCGATATATGCGAACACAACCACGATCTCCAAGGCAGCTAGGGATCTGCGGAGAACAGCAGGACGCCAAGGGTTTGCCCACATATACTTGACCCCATTTGCAGAGAAGGGCCGACTCTGACGAGCGCCCTTCTCCTTGCGCGATCTCTCGACCACGGCGACTTACACCAAACGATTCCCAACTCACGCTGAGCTTTTGGAGTCCCAGCAATGTATCGCGATGGTGAGTCTTCGGACCTGCAGCAAAGCCCAATGCACGCTTGAATTCTGTGCATTAAGCTGATTCTACCACAACTTGACGTCCCACCCCCGCTCGACGTGGCCAGGTCAGCATCGCAAACCGCCAGGAGGCTATCATGGACCCGCTGGCAACGGTCGTAGTGAGCGTGAAGAAGAACTTGCTGCTCAAACATCTCGAGGTAAGTGCGCATCGGAATTTCTGCGAATGATGGTCGCCCACACGACACTGGCAGACACAGTAGGTCTGGGTCAAATCTCCGCCATGCAAAAATGGCCAAACAAAGTGATCACAGGCAAATTTTTGGCTGATAGGCGACTCCTTCGTGCTGCGCACAGACCATCACCAAGCCGCATCACCTCCTTATGGTCATTCTTACGCCTCGCAGGGCGGAATGAGTATGCCGGGGCACGGGCACGGCCATGGCTATCCTGGTGCACCGCATCACAGCCAGCCACCGCCACCCATCTCTCCGGGAAGACGACCTCGGACCCCACCTTCCTCGTACCGGCCGTGGGATTCTGCGAACCAGTCAGGACCGATGTCAGCTCCATCCTCTGCTCCTCGCGTGCCGCCGGCTGGAAGCGCAGCAAATCCTACCAGGGGACGCTCTGGACACTCGAGCCAATATGATGGCGGCCATCACGATCAAAATCATGCTCGGATTGCCAGCTGGAATGCGCCGCACTCGCATGCAGGCCATGCAAGCAGTGGCCCCCCACGCAGTGGCTATGGCGGGCATCGCGAACCAAGCTATCACTCGCCAGTCGACACTCGCGCCGCCCTGCCGGCCGAGCCGTGGTCTAGCAGTAATGTGCAAAGCTATGGAACGCGGAGAAGTGCATCGCCACCTTTGCCTCGTGCGCGAAGATCTCTTGACCAAGACGGGCATGGAAGAAATGTTGGCGGGGGTGAAGCTCCAGCGGCTCCTCGGGGCGACCCCATGAGCATGAGTTCCATTCTCGGACCTTCCGGTGGATCGCGAGAGCGAGATCGTGACACGAGTCCCGAAAAGCACAGGCGTGCGGACGACCCCAGTCCCAGTCCGAGGACATTGGCGGCGCAGGCTGGGCCGGAACCTGGACCGCCGCGGGCGTCTAGCGCTACCACCAACGAAAGTGCCGTAGCTGCATTGGCAAGGCGCAAGTGGAGCGGGCCTCTTGCCGAGGAAGCGCAACAGCAAGCAGCTGCTTGGCGAGCGCAAGAGATGGGCAGATTTGGCGGCGGGCATGGTCGAACCCACTCTGGAGATATGCGCTACGCTGCGAGCCCAAATTTCGCTTCCAATATGCCGCTTCCATCTGCAGGAGGTCCTGGAGGTCGTTTTCCTCCGCAGCAGGGCCATCCCGTTGCATCTCAATCTATCGGTCGACCGCCTGCGGGCAGCCGACAGGGGAGCCCAATTCATGACAAGGGAGCGCCGATAGGTTCGACAGGTGGCGCAGCTCCACACAAGCGGAAACGGGAGCACGAGGGACTACCGTCACCACCACCTGGACGCCAGCCGGTGCCACCTTATGGCAGCGGACCAGAACACTCTGACTACCCTGCTCACCATCAGCCTCGACCCAGTGCAAGCCCTGCATTTTCTGGAGGCCCTCTTCCTCCCCCTCGAACAGCGGATCCGCGGGGCTACCCATATGGACCGCCCCCTGCGTCGGGTCCGACACCACAGCCTTCGAATCAAAGTGCTACCGCGCGACCTCGACCGCCCGCGCAGAATGTGTCTGGACCAGACACATACGCTAACCAGCAGTCGAGGGCTGCTCCACCTTACAATCCGTACGATCAGCGCCAGCGTCCTCCACCCGGCGCTGCTGAGACCCACGCGGCGAACACCTTCCAGCACCACCTAGGCTACACTCACGCGCAGCCGGGCGTGAACGAACCCTTGGGTGGGCAAATGTACCCAGCCAAGCACTCTCCAACGGTCCAACACAGACAAGCTGGCGCTCACGAGCCAATGCCACCAGCTGCAGGCCGAGGCGTACCAGCAGTGCCTCCAGGCCAAAACTCGTATCAGAGCATGGCACCTGGACAACTGCAGGAGGTGCCTCCGAGCGCAGCTAAAAGAGCTCCGGCGTCGCGGCCGCGCAAGTCTGGGACTCAGAAGCGCGTCAAGGCAGAGCAAGAGGCTTTGCAGCACGCAGGCATGCTTGCACCACCTGGAAATCTGCAGCAAGGTCATGGTGTACCCCGGCCACTGAGCATGTTGCCTCCACAAGGTATTCATGCGGAACAAGCTGCTGCCCAGCATCAACATCAGCAAGAGCAGCAGCGCCATGAAGAGCACTTGCGCAGACAGCAGCAACAGGAGCACGAGCAGCAGCAACTTGCTGCCCAGGCTCACGCTCACGCTCAAGCTCAAGCACAGGCACAGGCACAGGCGCAAGCACAGGCACAGGCACAGACACACGCACGAGTGCAAGCACAGGCACAAGCCAACGCTTATGCACGGCCCTGGCTAGCCAGCACTGGGGGCCGCGTTTTTGACGAGTACAACTCGAACAGCAGGTACGAGCCAGTGCTGCGTCCAGCTGTTGGCTTGACAGGAGGTCGCAAAGGCGGAGCTTCCGAAAACGGCAGAGTGCCAACGCGCGATTTTGATGCTGGCCCTCGCGTTGACTCTGAAGCGGTCTGGGAGCACCTGGAAAAGGTGGAGGGGCGCTTGCGTGACGATTTCTTGCTTACTCCCGAGAATTTGAAGTACGGCGATTACAACTCTGCTGTGCGCGAGATCGGCGAACGCACCGCCAGCAGTGCCCCAAAGCCGCCGACGGCCGTCTCTGCTTCTCAGGCGAAGACTGGACCTGATGGAGCCACCACTGACACAGCCTCAGTCAAAGTGGCCCGCCATCTCGGCAGCTGGGTTTACAACCCAAAAATCGACCCGCTACTCCCTGGTGAGCTTCTGGCTGCCAACGTTGGCTCAACTCTCGAAGTCCGCATCTCAGGCGCATGGTTGGGGCCTGGTCCTACTCCGGACGATGCTTCATCGCGTGTTGGCGCAAACGGTAGACCAGACGCAGCACCTAAGAGCGAAAAAGAGTTGTCAGTGCGTCTTCCGGAAACTGGTCGCCATTCCTCCGCTGAACCAGCCAATGCCAAGGACTTGCAATCCACATCCAACATCGACAAATGGCGCTTGGGCTGGAGAGGTCAAGAGCACTTCAGAATGATGCTGAATGAGCGAACAGACTTCAAGGGCGCGCGCGCTGCTGCAACGTTTCGGCACCTCGACCGGACGAGTGAGCGGGAAGAGACGACTGTGAAGGCCTCGCCAAAGGAGAAGGGAACCGAAATATTCTGGAGCCAGCAGGCCCTTCTGCGACGCCGTATTTGGGGCACAGACGTCTATACCGATGACTCTGACATCGTCGCTATGTGCACTCATGCTGGATGGATCGACGGTCCGGCGCTCGACGATGTGCCTGGATGGGTACCGCCGGGCAGTGCCATGTTCGCGTGGAAGGCAGCGCGACTCGCGAAAGATGAAAACGAAGACACCCATAACGCAGAGCCTGAGAGAGACGTGCGTGCCGCCAGCGCGCCCCTTAAAGGCGCGGTCAAGCCCAACGTATCGGCGCACGCGAGATCCAGCGCGACATGCGATCTGTCGGTCCATCTTCGTGTTGGACCCCGCTTGATTGCGTACAAGGGCAGCCAGCGCTCCGGCGTGCGATCACGTAGCTGGGGCAATACACATGATGGAGTGAGCCTCGTCATCGAGAGCGTTGAGCTGAAGGAGGTGAGTATGCATGGGGCGCTGGCACAACGAAAAAGATCTTTCAGCTGACCTTCGCTTATGCAAATCATCAGCCTGGCTACGCGTCCTTACAACGGGGCGTGCGCGGAACAAAGAAGCGAATCGATCATCTCGCATCTCTCAAACTTCTTGCGGATGTCGCTTCTCTACCTGCAGAGGAACCACTCGGCTTGCTCAACGGGCACAACGCTGAGCACGATACCGGAGCAGCACAAGCCACAGGATCAGAACCTGTGGTTCATGATCTCACTGACACCAGAAATGCAGGGCTGGCGCCCTTTGCGAAGCTCATTTCCCTCGTCGATGCTGCAAAGCTAGCAGCATTATCCCGCCTGTCTTCCGAGCAGCAGAATCCCACGGAACATCCTCAAAGACACTTTTGGGACCTGCAGAGATCCAACGCGGCTGCTGTCGAAAGCGCCTGAGCCCCGCTCGCGTCTCACCCAAACGACGCTGAGACTTGAACACCAAAATTAACACCACTTGTCCACGTCCTGAAAAGCAGGGAGAGCGTTTTGTATCCTAAGTCAGAGAGATATCGGGCGTGGCCCGTCGGATAATGACAGTAGTCAAAGACGTGGACCGAGAGGGCCAGTTGAGCTGTGTTGGTGTTCCCTCTATCGTAGATGCGTCTGGTTCTGAAAGAAGCTTCGACATGCCCACCAACGACACCCGCGCAGGGCTCTACGGCCGTACCGTACACTTGAGCTGCTGCATTCGTGATTTTGAATCTCGTGCATCATGCACTGCAGAGACGGTTAAGACGGAAACGTCCGCAATCTCGGGCGGAAAGCGCATGCAAGGGCACGCGTATGTGTGTGCTTTGGCGCCAAGTTTCACGGTACCTACAGCAGACGCACCACAATGTGAATCATGTGTCGAGAGCCTTTGCAGGTTCTGCAAGCAAGCAAGGACGTACGCCCGCGTACGGGTGGGCGAGTTGGGCGACTCGGAGGCGCGATTCACGATCACGATGACTGACTGATCGCGCGAGCAATTAAAGCGCGCAGCCGTTCAGCTTACGGGGAGTAGGGTACCCATGGACTGATGTTGAATTGCGTCGCAGCGGCACGTCAGCATGATTGCTTCTGTGTGCTCATCACGAAGTGCTCATCACGAAGGAACAAATTGGTAGAAGGTGAAAGAAAGTGCAGTCACAGTCACATGCTAGGCGTCACCACATCCATGGGCCGCGTCATTGACACACACACACACACGCACACACACACCACAAGCTTGTCAGATTGCGCCTTATCACCGAGAATCGTAATCGTAAACTCAATTAAGCCACACGCACGCGCGCGCGTGTGTGAGCTCGCACCCATCGCTGCTGCACCATCACGCAGCATCCGCGCTTAAGCGCCCCCCTCTTGTGCTAAAGTCCGGTTCGCACGCAATCACCAGACCAACTTGACAGCAGCCTGCGTGTACCGCACCTGACTGCGGGGACTGCTCTCATTTAGCTTCCTCGAATCGGACGTCAAGACTCACGAATGCGATCCGTGGGCCGGCCGTGAGCTGCGAGCGGTGGTGATAGAGTAGGCCGTGGGTAGATGACGAATCCTGCGCTGACGTGATTCATGAAGTAGTGCGTGAGCGAGCGGCCGCACTTGCACAAGCATAAATAGGGCTGTTCATCAAGCCTTCGCACCCTTCACTCTCCTACATCGACCTGACATCAGCTCTTTCCACGACAGTCTCGCCCAAGCAGCAGCCGACTAAGCTTCACCAGCCTCGAGCCATATCACCGCTAGGAAAGACTTGCCCACCTACAACACGCCATCTCGCTCAACTGCCGCATCTCGTCGAAGACTTGGTGATTACACACAAGCATCGATCATGTCAGACCTTTCGAACTTTGTAGTTGTGGGCGCCGGAAATATTGGAGGTCATATTGTGACAGAGTTGCTGAACAAGGGCAAAAAAGTCAGCATTCTATCTCGGGAAGGAAGCGACAATAGCAAGACGTCGGCTCTGGAGTCCAAGGGAGCCAAGATCATCAAGGCCAACTACGATGACGCTTCGACGTTGAGGAAGGCGTTCGAATCCGTGTCGGCCGAGGTGGTCATCTTGGCGCTTGGCGGAGCCGCTCTAGCACCGGGAGGACCTTCGAACAGGCTTGCAGACGCTGCTAAAGCAGCAGGCGTCAAAATCTTTGTGCCTACAGACTATGGAATCGATCTGGAGCAATTCAAGGCGGAAGACATTCATCCGCTCATCTCGGGCAAGGAGCCTCTTCATCGATACTTGGAATCCATCCAACTTCCATGGACAGCCTTCTCCACGGGCATCTTTGGCTCTTATCTGCCCTTGTTCCTTCCCAACTTGCCTTTTACGCAAGGCATCAAGTTCTCATCCACCGCAGAGGAAGATATCGGTCTGGCCGTCGCTTCTGCCTTTTCAAATCTGCCTTCCAAACAGCTGCACAACCGAAACATCAAAATTTCAAGCTTCGACACCGACTTTAAGCAGATTGTGGAGCAGGTCGGATTGAGCGAGGATAAGGCCAAAGTCGTGCCTTCCGAGAGCTTCTTGGAATCGAGCAAGGTGCCGGATCAGAAGGGATTCTTTGCTTGGCTCGCATACCAGCTTGGTGGGACCGGAAACGCCTATCACAAGAATGACAATGAGCTCATTGGCTTCAAGCCTCGTCATACTAGTCCCGTCGAGTTCTTCCAGGGCAAGTAGCAGGCAGGGCTTGCAGCACTCGCCAATACCGCGACTCGCTCGCTCTTCATCCCCTGTCAAATCCTGTGTGCTTTCACCATCTCACTTGCAATACCAGACATCTTCTTGTTGAGGGTGTTTGCAGTTCATGAGGGAGTTGCCTTCGCTCGCATGGGTGCTTCCTCAACCACCGATGTCACACTTGCATGGGGGCATCGCAGACAGCAGCAGCAGGCAGCTGGCACACCGCGAACGCGTAATTAATTGTGGGCTTTCGTGTTCGTTGGTGCAAGGCCGCGCGCCGCTTCCGCCTCGTGTGACTAAAGACTTCATGCATGCAGCGTGATATCAAAGCTCCTTTTTGGTTGAAAGTTGATTGTGATTTTAGATTCAAGTTACAAGTGATCTTGATTCCATTCAAGATTACTCTTGACTGGTGACTGTAGATAAGACGCAAGACTCAACGAGTCGTTATATAGTTGGCGCACACCTGCTCGACTTCTGACGCACACACTCGCTCATGACTGCCCTGCCATCCACACCATTTTTTGGGGTTTGACCTTGACCTGCACGACGCTTTGAATTCTTGGATTCTGAACTCTGCTTCGTACCCTCTCTTCGCCTTCTCCCGGCTCCATCGACTGGCTCGCAGGTCGCTCAACCGATCTCATTCATTCCCACTTCTTACTCACACGGCACGTCGGCTTCGCGTCCATTGAACTTCGAAGATGCCTTCGGCTGGAGAAGCGGCGAAAAGTGTCGCTCCTGCCACGGCTGGGCAAGGCATCGTCTTGCCGCCCAATGCTACCAGGCTTGCTCAAACGGCTCAATTAAGTGAGTGACGAGGATTGCAGCGCAGCGCAGCGCTTAGCCAAGACCGAAGCTGGAGCTGCGGTCGTGCTCGCCATTCAAATGGGCTAGGACGGTCTGTTTCGTTTGCGCAACCGCAAGACCATCCGACCTCTACTGACGATTGGCGTCGCACACACTCCCTCACTTTATCGTCCCACCTCAAGATGCGCTCCTAACAATCATCAGGTCCAGCGCTACTTCTCGATCTGATTTCATCTTTTACGCAGACAGGATCATACGTATGGTAGTGGAGGAGGGATTGAATTATTTGCCCACGCTCGAGAAGACGGTGCAGACATCCACTGGTGGGGCTTATGATGGTAAGTTTGATCTTCGAATATGCGCATACATCACACACATACACACACACACACACACACACACAAAAAGAGAGCATCGCAGCTGACGCACGTTGGCCATTCGCGACTTGGTGTAATGGCAGGACTGAAGTTTGAGGGGAGGATCTGCGGAGTGTCGATCTTGAGAGCTGGGGAAGCTATGGAGAGTGGATTGCGGGAGTGCTGCAGGAGCGTCAGGATCGGAAAGATTTTGTGAGTAGATGAGCATGTGCGCTTAGCGCTTCGGCCAAGCTGCTCGCGGTGGAAGATCACGAGAAGACGCGCACAAAGTACGAGGGAGCGAAGCAATGGGTCATGCATCTCATCGGTGGAGCATAGGTGCGCAGCATCGCTCTGACTTTCGCGCCTCCGTGCCGCGCGCGATTCCAATCTGCAGGATTCAGAGGGTGAGTGGAGCAAGCTTGATCTTTATAGGAGTAAGCCATCGCTCGCTGAGACACTGATACCCCTCAACCACACCTTGCTGCAGGATGAAGAGACGGCGAAACCAAAGCTGTGTGAGATGCCAGCGCCATTTCTCCACACCACGGCCTTCTCGCTGACTCGTAACACCATGGATCGTTCTTGTAGTCTATGCGAAACTGCCGCAAGACGTTGCGAAGCGATGGGTACTGCTCTTGGATCCCATGCTCGGTGAGTCTGGGACGCTATGTAGCTACGAGGGCGGGCCCAATCGGTGAAGGATGCGCAAGAGCAGTCTGGAGCAGAGCCCTGACATGCTGCGCTTCCATTGGCCGCGCACGGTGTGATCAGCTACGGGAGGCTCGGTGCTGCAGGCCATCGAAGTCCTCATCTCTCACGGAGTGGAAGCGTCTCGGATCCTATTTCTCAACCTAGTCGCCAGTCCCGAGGGACTAGCAAATGTATATGCTAGGTATCCAGAAGTGAGAGTTATTAGCGCTTGGGTCGACGAGGGGTTGGATGAGAGGAATTACAGTGAGTCCTGCGCTCTATGGTCATGGAGATGAGCCCTCGCAATGGCGATCTCATTGCTGATGCGCTCCTTCCTTGCGTCTGCCCCTTGCTTTCACCTCAGTCGTGCCCGGTCTCGGAGACTTTGGCGATCGATACTTTTGCTGATGCAAAATGCCGAGCGCTAGCCTTACTGGAATTGAGTGCTACACGAGCACACCATGCAGCGCAACGTTTGAATGTGTCGATTGTAGGGATGTCTGATTTTCTCAAGCATCCGTAGACATGGCTTGCGGCGCGTCTCCCCGCTGGTCATTCTCCTCCACGTCACTGGATTCGTCGTCACCCAAAACGTGTTCGGATCCGGAAGCTTCACCGATGGCCTCTATTGTGGGCGCGAGATCTTTATGAAGTCCAGCCTGGACGAGGGTGAACTGATCTCTGAATGCGCGAACGAGATACGGAGCGAGCGATTTCGCCTTCAGCCTCTGGGTGGTGCGCCTGCTCCTCTGCACCGTCCCATGGCCATCGGCATACTCACGGATAGAGCGCGCTGATCTTTCTGAACCTGAACAAACCCAGCTGGTGCTGATTCTTCGCACCCTCCTCGACCCACTTTCGCAACAATGCGACATTGTTGCGGTCCAACAGATCAGGCACGATCAATCCAGTCCTGTACTCTTCCTCATCGCGCTTGACCGCATCTTGCAGTCGAACCTCTCGCATGTCTGGTGGACGACCTTGTCTGCGCTGCGATTTGAAGGCTTGCAGGTCGGTCGAATGACGGGAGAGGTACTTTGTGCGAACGTGCGCGTGAAGGCTCGACAAGTCTTCTAGGTGCGTCATTGTTGAAGGCAAGAGCGTGATCATCACACGTAACCTCTCCACTGCAGGCAAGAACACGTGGGGAGCGTCACGTCAAATTTGCATCTTCCACCCACTGTCGGCAGCCCGCTTGCCTCCCAGAACAAGCATGCGAAGCGCAGCTGTCAGGGATTTGGTCCCCACGAAGACAACAGCCCGCCTCTTCGTCCGCCCCACCGCTCTCCTCCTTCTGCATCCAGCTCACTCACGCTTTGAGGCCACATCCTTCTTCCTGTCACTTCTCTGAGAGCTCAATTTCTCCTGCCGATGAGCGACTCTCTGCAGCTGAGCAGCTCTTCTGGAATCGGGATGCGTCGCGGCATTCTTTCTTCGAATGGTCTTTGCAGTGAGCTTCTTGCCTCCCATATTGTGTACAAGACTCGAGTGATCTGGATTCGGAGGTGAGTTTCAAAAGGCATGGATGATTGAAAGCGACAAAGCTGCACGCCAAAGCAAAGCCTCCTTCCTCCTCTGCGACCATTCATGCGCTGCGCTGCTCCTCCTCTCTGCGTGGCGGTGTCAATTTTATCTGCCTTCACGCGCCTGCCACTCAAATCGTGACTGACCGCTGCTCCAATAATAAAGCGGCGGCTCAGAACTTGAATTCAATTCTGCGACCCCATTCAAAACTTTTTTTTTTCTCTTTCTCGCGCGAGATCACGCGTGGAATTTTTGGCGCTGTTTGCCTCTGCTTGCGCGCTGCATGCATACATGCAAGTACCTACAGTACACAGCTCGTCCAAATTTCTCCTTCTCGTTTCGGGCGGCGCTGCATGGTGTAGCTGCTATACCGGCTTGAGCTGATGGTAGACACACACCTCGAGCGTTCTTCATCACAGGCATGCCTTGACTATTCCACATTCCCTTCCACAGACGTCGTCAATCTACTTCCCGATAGCCAACAACGTATCCTGAAAGCCTGAGCACGCCAGGATGGGACGTCGATCGAAGCAAAAGCAACCCCCTCCTGCCCCCCTCTTTCCCGACGCTTCCCGTTCCGCTCCTCGCAAGAGCCCGAAGGTCGTCAAGGCCAAGACGTCGGGTGCTGAGCAGCTTACCGCCCTCACTGCGCCTTCGAAGAGCAATGGGAAACGAAAAGCTGTGGATTTGGATGCGGAGGTAAATGCAAGAGTGAGAGGAAAGATCGCAAAGGTCAAGAGTGGCCTCGGCGTACAGCGCGGTGCTGCGAAGACCGGCAAGGGAAAGGGAAAGGTTGCAGGCGAAGAACAGATTGAGAGAAGGTGAGAGCACCATGAAGCGACTGAGTTGTGGGCCGTTTTTCAGCCTCGAAGTCTCACCTGCGTCGCCTTCCCTTTGGTCTTTCAACAGCATCGCGTTCGACTCGGAAGACGAGGCAGGCGACGGCTTCGATGGCTTGTCCAGCGGCGATGAGGAGGAAGCGCTAGCAGACGAATTCGAAGGACTAGATGGCGAGGAGGAGGGGAAGGATGAAGCTGAGGTGGAAGGAGCTTCCTCCTCAGGCAGCGGAGTGGAGTACTCGGACGAAGATGCTTCGGATCATCAAGCAGCCTTGGGACTGGAGATGTCGGGCGACGAGGAAGGCGACGATCCTCTGGTCGGTGCGCAGGATGAGGAGAACGAGTCTGATGAGGCAGACGAAGAGGAGGAAGATGGAGAAGATGCGCCGCTTCAGCTGCCCGAATTGCCTCCCAAGGGTACCAAGCTGAGCGAAAGGCAGAGAAAAAAGTACATCGCTGAAGCTGAGAGGTTGGAGCTGCTCCTCAAAAGTCAAGGCCACACCCTCGACTCCGACAACCAAGATGACGAGGAAGGGTCAGAGGCGGATGAAGACAGCGAAGGTGGTGATGAGAATTTGGAGCTCAGCGAGGTGACTGAGGACGAAGACGAATCGGATGGATCGTCCGCCGAAGAGGACCATGAAGGGGACTTCATCCTTCCCACGCTCGAAGAGCGAGACGCCGAGTCTGCCAAGGGGGTGGACTTGCAGGTGGTGCAGTTGAGAATGCAAGAGGTGGTCAATATCTTGTCCGACTTTAAGAACCTGGCCAGGGATGGCAGGAGTCGCAGCGAGTACACTGAGCAACTCGTTTTGGATATTTGCGCGTACTATGGCTACAATGCTTTCTTGGCTGAACGGCTGCTGCAGCTTTTCCCCGCTGCCGAAGTACGTGTTGCCAGGCCAGAGCTCCAGTCTTCGATGCGAATGTTGTTGTGAAGCTGATGTCCTGCTCCTCCACACCCACCCGCGCTTCTCCAGGCGCTCGAATTTTTCGAGGCCAACGAGAGACCCAGACCTGTTACAATACGCACCAACACTCTTCGCACGCGTCGAAGAGATCTGGCACAAGCACTGATCAACCGAGGCGTGACGCTGGAACCGCTGGGCAAATGGTCCAAAGTAGGCTTGCAAGTCTTTGAATCTAGCGTGCCAATCGGAGCTACGGCAGAGTACCTAGCAGGCCATTACATGCTCCAAGCTGCCTCCTCCTTCCTGCCTTGCATCGCTCTGGCACCCCAACCGGGAGAGAGGGTGCTGGACATGGCCTCTGCCCCAGGTGGCAAAGTGACCTACCTATCCGCTCTCATGCAAAATACCGGCGTCGTCTTTGCGAACGATAGCAACAAGGCGAGAACGAAGAGCTTGAGCGCAAATATCCACAGGATGGGATGCAAGAACGTAGTCGTGTGTAATTACGACGGAAGAGCTTTCCCAAAGGTCATTGGCGGATTCGACAGGGTCATGCTCGACTCGCCTTGCAGCGGGACGGGCGTGATCAGCAAAGATGCTAGCGTCAAGACCAACAAGGTTCGTGTGATCGAACGGATGTCTTCAGTTCGTCGCTGACCGATAATGCTTTGCCTACGCAGTCTGAGCGAGATCTTCAGCTCTTGACGCACCTTCAAAAACAACTGATCCTCTGTGCCATTGACAGCGTAAACACGCGAAGCGCTACGGGAGGCTACGTCGTCTACAGCACCTGCAGCGTACTCGTGGATGAGGATGAGGCGGTGGTTGACTATGCCTTGAAGAAGAGACCAAACGTCAAAATCGTGCCGACCGGCGTGGAGTTTGGCAGAGAAGGCTTCAAGGCGTTCAGGGATAAGCGATTTGATCCGAAGATGCATCTCGCTAGGAGGGTCTACGTGAGTCTTTTTGTCTCATCGACGAGGAGAACTTTGTCTGATAGACTGACCGGGCCTTCTGCGTTTACCTCTTGCAAAAGCCTCACACGCACAATGTCGACGGCTTTTTCCTCGCGAAGCTCAAAGTCTCTCCTCGTCAAGCATCGCAAAAGTCTGGAGAAGTGCGAATGATGGACGATGAAGTCTCTGCTACCGTCGATGCCAACGGGGACGTCTCCATGTCGATCGACGGAAACGATGCTGGGGCAAGGGGAGATCAGAGCTTGTTCGAGGAGAACGAGGAGGACTCGGAGATGATTGCCAAGAGTCAAAGGAGGGCCGAGAAGAAGAGAGGAGTCAAACCATCCATTGGAAAGACTCGTGTTCCCCATGGTGTCTCTGCTTGAAAGTTGGGGCGACAACGGCCCAATGCAAGCTCGGATCAGCTCGGATCTGGCGAAGTACCGTCACACCACGTATCTGTCAAGCATTCCATCCTGGAACTTCTCTCGCAATTTGGTATGCGTTGATTTCTGCTGGCTGTACCAGTCAATTTTGCGCACGCAACAAAAGCAGGGCGTTCGGAACGCTTTTGGCACCGTTCGTTGAGAGTACAATATCGTGTGACAGGCTTCTTAAATACCCATTCATCTTTTCGCGCAATCTGAGGGGCGCTTTTGGAGGGTGGACACGCAGCAGGTAGTCTCATCAAATCGTTCCCTTGCGCTTCCGCACACCCTGTCTGTCTCCTTGGAGCTACCGCTGACCCCTGCTGATCACTGTACTTTGGGCTCTCTTTCTTCTTCGACCCCTTTCCTTTCTCTCTCCTTTCTCAAATCTATTCTCGCTTGGCATGCTGGCCATCTGTTGCAGCTTTGCTGTCTGCTACCGCCTTTGCTCCCACCGCCTGGGTTTCCCTCCATGCTCTTCTAGCCAGCCAGCCATCCCTCTCCTCTCCATGAGCCCACCAGAGACTCATAGCTGTTCCAGGTCCAGCAAGGATAGCGACAAGGTTGTTGCCGAGCAAGCCAGTCTCGGTGGCCGGGTGCCCAGCAGGAGCGGCAGCTATGGCAATGGAACATTCCTTTTGCACGTCCGAACGCGGATGGCCCGTGATAGGATGAACGGGCGAAACGCTGCGCGTGGTCAGATGTTCCGCTACCCTGATGAGGAAGAGGAACCAGACGGTGCCGAAAAATTGGTAGAGCATAAAATGGGCCGCATAGCTTAGCGCAGACTTGAGGAAGATGAGGTCCATAACGATTCGGTTCAGGCCGTACCAGTAGAGCGTGGAGCTGAGGAGAGAGACTTGTCTTTGGTAGGCCCAGGTTCGCTCGTAGCAGTAGCTGACCTCTGCAGCGTTGTAGCTGGCGAGCTCCTTCCTTGCCTCTTCCTCCGTCTTTGGCACCACCGTCTCCCGCACACCCAGAAAGAGCAACGGGAAGTAGACGACGAGGGGGGAGAGACAGAAGGCAGTGGTCGCATTAAGCCAATTTTGCCCTGCCACATCGAAGAGCGCCATGGAGATGAGAATAGCAATGAAGATCATGTTGGCGAGGTTCGCTGCGTAGACTGCTGGAGCAGGGCTTGGCAGCAGCGGCAAGCTTGACTTGGGAGAGGTTACTTGAATGTAGAGCCCCGCAATGTACACCAGCGAGCCCACGGATGAGAGGAACGTTCCAAAGCCGAACGCGATGCCGCCGAGCAGAAAGCCAATGGGCAAGGCAATGCCGCGCAACACGGTGCGATTATTTGGCGAGACGGAGATGTACGTTAGTCGGAAGAGTATTGGGATGAGTACAGAAGCGAGCAGAGAGGCGGCCTAGATGAGAAAGAAATGCGATGATGCGATGTGAGCAGATCATCAATGGACCACGCAACTATGCTGACACCAGGCCTATTTGCACTCACGCCGATACCCGGTCCATCAGATAGAAGCGTTTTGAAATAAGTGAGAGCAAGGCAGAGTGCATCATCTGCAGGTTTGAAATTTCCCAATGTAAAGTCGGTACTCAAACTCGCTCTCCTCGGGTTTGTGCATGCGCTAAAGACAGCTCGAAGAGGTTTAGCCTGGAGGTGGCGAGCGAGCAAGAGAGGGCAGGTGAGCATGAGTTTGGGGAATGTCGATTGAGCGCAAAGTCGACGTGGTCTGCAGCTTGCTCGGCCCGTGCCCGCGAGATACAGGCGAAGGATTGACACTGCAGCGCCTTTACTCACCGGGTCGGATAGGATAGAGGTTTGGACTAAGGCTGCGGACAGAGCAACACAAGTACCCACAAGCGCTACCAATGTGGTCGCCATCTTTGAGGCGCACGTCGCAGATGTGGATGGGTGACAGCTTCTGAGTGTTGGTAGAGAGATCGAGCAGATGGGTGGATAGGTGGATGGGTGGATGGGTGGATGGATGTGGAGGCCGAGGTTGGCTAGCACGTCCTTGTCTCCTCCAAGGTATGCAACAAGCGAATGTGTCGCAGGTGAAGGGCGAAGGGCGAAAGGCGAAAGGCGAAAGCTGAGCGGTGGTCGAAGCGGACAAAGTGAGGAAGCAAAAGTAGTTGGATTGTACTGTATATGACCAAAAGGACTCACAGATACAAAGCACTAATCAGTCCAAAGCCTCCCGTCTCCACTCGACAGCTGCGCCTTTTCCTCTCCTCTGCAGACCCACGATCTGCTTTTCCGCCGGCTCGATCCCTGATTGCACCTGGCGTCCGTGCATGCAGCCACACCCATCTCTCCATCCGCTCAGCGTGCACAGTCACAGCTGTGTACAGTATACGGCAGGCACAGGCGGTCAAAGGCCAGACGACAGACGCGGGCAAGAACGTGCTCAAGCGGGAATTGGCTGCAGCACAGCAAGGCCCAGCCTTCGCATGCGGTGACCCTTTTGCCGCCTCGTGCCCGTGCTTGACGCGACGCGTGCGCGCGGCTCGAATGCGTCACGTGCCGCTGCGCGAGTTCTCTATAAGAATCAAGAATGGTGAATAATCGAGAATGAGAATGCAACGAACTACAATCAGAATCTTGAATTGAGCTCAGAGATTCAAGATTCAAGATTGCATATGCGGCTCCGCATCCGCATCACTCTTCAGCACTTGACTCGCACTCATGACTCACATTTCAGATTTTTCTTCGCCTCAAATTCACACAAGACTTGACGTGAATTCGGTGACCACTTTGAAGCGCTTTTGCTGGGACAACGCAGATGCTAGGGCTATCGGGATGAGTGCCGCTTGTCACCAAGATCCGTTTGCGCCGCAAGTCTGAGCTGTACACGCGAGTAGTAGCCCGTCCTGCGTGCGTGAAGATGAGCGCGGCAAAAGCCAATCAAAAATGAGAATCTGAATGATAAACGTCAATCATCGAGAATCAAATGTGGGTTTATCATAGTTCCCCCTTCTCGCCTTCTCACGTCACGGGCTGGTCCAGTCGACGATCTTGTTAGCCAATGACAAGATAAGAAGCTTCTCCTCGATTGCATCGTGACGGATTATGAGGGTGAGGCCCATCCAACCCGCGGCTGTGCAA